TGTTTTTTCCAGATACACAGTGAAAAAATGCAGCTATTACACTACTCATCATCTTTTGTAGATTACCTACATTGTTTCGAATAGCTATTCCATAATAGTTCTGAATTCTGTCGATTAATTTATCAGTTAATTTATTTTTCCCTCCCAAACCTTTCGTCGTTTTTTTAATTGACGCAACCGCCCCCTACACGTTTCTGTACATGACCTATACACTCGAGTTTGGTTACTGTATTAATTCCATAAAAGTTTTTAACAGATTCATATCCTTTTGAGTCCCCATCTCCGTAGTATTCATTGTACTGTACATTCCTCACATTTGATCTCTCAAATATACGGTAGGCTCCAACAACCTCCATGTTCCCCGCGGAACCTTTGTAGTTCGAACATACATGTTTCGATGATTGGCTATTGCCTTTCGCGCATATGTGGCAATATTGTGTCATAACTTCAATGTCTAAAATTTTACCGGTGTCAACTGATATGGCACTTACACACCCATTCAAAGATGAGTAGCCTCTGCGTTGCCAAGTACCATCAATGGATATTCCACATTTAGTGAAACTATTTGAGCCTTTGATTTCACTCAATGCAGCGTTGATGTTTTCTTGAGCAACGCGTTCAGTTGCTTTCAACAGTTTTCTTTCTTGATTGCGGAAAGCAAGTTTTGACAGGAAAGGTAAACCGAGGAAAGCACATAATTTTTTGCCAGCTGAAAATCCTTTCCCGATTATCCTTAGCCCAAAAACAATTGAAGAGTTTATAAGACAAGAACCTTTCATCTTCTCTGTCGTAGGGAAACCTTTCAAGAAGGAGCAGTTTTTGCACTTTAGGTTCATATGTGAGCATAATCCACTGACAGAGTCTTCTATAAGTTCAAGCCCTGAGAATAACAATCAGGACAACAAACTATGGCAAAAAATGAAATCAAAGTTGTCCAGCTGACAATTCTATTGTCTTTAGAAGTTTCAAACAATCTTTCTGAGAAAATTTCCAAACTTGTATGGCTTGATTCCAACTTTTTTGGCACTAGCGGATTCAGTAGAATTGAGCTCAGATGTTTCATCATTCTCATTAATTGTGGCACGAATGGTATAACGATTTCCAGTAAATCGGCGCTTCTTAGACCTCCCAGATCTTGATTTAGCCATAATTAATCAATATTTTGTCTTAAGAAAGACAGTTTTTTTCATAAAATATATCAAAATAATAAATTAAACGAGGAGCGAAGAATCGAGTAGCTACAACATAAGCAAATCGAAAAATGACAACAAACCTGTAAAGTTGTTGCCAAATTTTACTAAAACTATTAAATAATTTTTAAAAAAGAATATCACCATATTCAGTTTTAATGTTACCAAAATTAATATTTTAAAAATAAATTCAATAAAATTCCAAAAAAGAGTAAAAATCTTTCAAATTCAAAGTACTTCCGGTTTCGATTTCTAACTTCCGGTTTGTTTTTGTTGTTCTCACTTGACATAAAAACTGCTATAACTTCGTAAATAATTGGAGTACAAGCAAAAGTAAGGTATTTTTAGAAAGAAGAAAATTCAAATATTAAAAATATCAAATAAATTTTTTTTTTTTTTGTCATGTTCATCAAAATTGACGATTTTACACTAGTCAGGCACCTTAATGTACATTCGTCTCTTGACACGATGGGTCTTCAGTGAAAATAAGTATCAAACCTAAAACTCGACAGCGCCACCGTAAGTTTGTGACTATGACTTCTCGACTATGACAACGACTTAATTAATAAAACAGAGGGAATAAAATATAGCTTAAAAATGTGTGTTTCAGAAATTATTTATCGAAAATCACTTAAATCCTTTAAACAAATATTTTTTTTAAAAAAAAATGTTTTGCTTAGAGATTGAAATGAAAGGAAAATAGATTGCGTGGAAAATTTCAAATAATGGAAATTTATCTATCATAGTCCTCGATAGCAATAAGGTGAAGAAAATTTGCTCAAATTTCTCAATATATCGAGAGTTTTAAGAGAGTCGTAAATCACCAACTAAAACTGAAAAAGTAATTAATGGTGATGTAATTAAAATTTTATTTAAGTACATATTTTTAACAACACTTACAGAACTCTGAAAAAATCGCTGATAAATATGAGATTAAAGACAAATTATGTTTAAAGACATTCTTCTCATAAAATGCATTTTCCTTACAAACATTTTCGTCATTATTTTTCATCAAAAAATGCTATTTTTTATGTGAAAATTTTCTTTAAATAGAGAGGTTATGATTTAAATACTTTCTTTTTTTAATGTAAACTTTTCATATAATTATTTTATCTTAATTTTTTCCTTGAATCGATTAATTTAATCACCTTTCAGGTACTCAACAAATGTATATAAATAATCCCGAATTAAAAGTTAAAATATATATGAATGCTAAATTTTCTTCCTCTAAAAAGAAGAAAGAAATTGAAATGAACGCATATATCAAAGTGCAGTTGTATAAGTATCCAATGTTTTTATTTTATTATATGAGAAACACACACACACACACACACACACACACACACACACACACACAAACAAATAAAATAAACTTTTGAGGCAATTTTTGAAAATATTTTATCTATATTTAAAGGTATTTACAAAGCATATAATTTTCATATACAAGAAAATCATAAGAATTTTTTCTTTGTTGAAGTAATACATTGTGAATTATGTATATAAATTTAAAATTACCCTCAAAAAAAGTTTATTTTATTTAAAAAGGAAAGGTAGAAAAATAAGTTAGCATTATAAGTTAATAATACAAGCTAGAATTTTTGAACTATACAATCCCACAATTTGGGAGTTGATTGTTAAAAACACAATAAAAATTTTGAGCAAATGGATAAAAAACAATCTAAATAAAACTAATATTTTTCTTTCTTTCTTTATACAAAATCTGATTTGGAGGAAATAAGCAAAATTACTTCCAATACAAGCAGCACCAATAATTAAATAAATATCATTATTATTTAAGAATTGTTTTATTTCTTTAGTTGTTTATCTGAATCCCCCATTTTAAATACCAAATAAATTAAGAAATAAAAACATTATTTCAAAATAATTTAAAGTGTGATATTTAACAAAGTAACGAAATTAAAATATTTATATATTTCTCTAAAGACAATTTTGAACTAACTAATATTGTTTTTGACATACACTTTAATAATGTAATTCAAAATATTTATTTTTACATATTTTCTAAAGGGTCAAATATTTTAGAAGACAATTTAGAAGACATAATAATATTTCTTAGTACCTTATATTCCTATTTTAAAATCACCGTTGAAAAGCAAATTCTGCTAAGATCACAGTAAAAATATTAAACTTTTAAAAGCCTAATTAAAAAAAAATCTATTAGCTTTGATTGTGTACTGTATAATGCATTGTAGATGTAATGGCTGAAATGTATCTATTTCAATAAATTGTTCTTTGGAATTCCAAAAGTTACAGAGTAAAATAAATTAAGTATACTAAACTAATGATTATACATTTTCAATTTATTTTAAATATCTTTGTATGTGAGATGATTTCTCTTAAATATATTTTTAGAGCAATTATTTCGTTAATCTCGGACCTTGATCCAAAAGAAATCCTAAAATAATGTTATATTCTCTATCATTAAGCTATGTAACGATATAATAGTAAAGGCTACTCAATATCCTTCTTCAATAGATAAATAAATAATTTAGAAACAGTATTAATAAAAGCAATTACCAATTTTCTTTAAAACTATATAAATAAATTGACTTCGTCAAAAAGTCATTTTTAAAAAGGCATTATCTTAAAGTTAAACAAAAAATTAAATTTTTGTACATCTTTTAGTAAAATACACGACTTCTAATATTTTTTAGTTATTTCAAGTGTTGTATATTTCTTAATTTTTAATGAGAACAACAACAAAAAACATACCTCGAAATTGAAAATCTAACTCTTTGATGAAATTTAATAACTTTTGTTACTAAACCTGAAAAAAACCCCATACGAATTTTAATAATATTAAGTTTCACACTTTTCTAAGGAATAACTAAAACTCCTAAATTTAAATCCATACCAACTTTCACAAATACACGTATTAAAGTATCTTAGAAGAACGGTAAAAAAGCACACGGTAAAGCACTTTCATCCACAAAAATGAAAGTGTGAATTAAAAGCATTAAAATTTTTAGAAGCACATATTTTGGGACTGACAATACTCAGATTGCTTCAAACATCTTCAAAACTAGTTGGATATCATGCATAAAATTTGGCCCAAGCCTTACGTCCGGATGTGCGACATATAAATGAGAAAAATGCAACACCCTCTATGTTTTTGTCGTTTTCAGGATACTGTGTAACTTTAATCTTAAAATGGCACAACGAAGTCACCTCAGACGTTCACATACGCACAATTTGTAAATGGTATGCACGCGCTATTTTACTCATCAAGTTATCAATTCAAAAAGTTTAAACGTAATAAAACACCTTCAGAATTTTTATTACTACAAGAAAAAAATTAGGAAATAAAAAGAAAAGAAAATTTTGCAATGCACTAAATTAATTGATTCTAAAATTAATTTTAGCATATTTTTGGGATTAAATAAATATGAATATTACTACTGAAAAGAGAGAAATAACTTCAGTCATAAATAAAAACTTATTATAATTAAATGGCCATCTGAAAACTTCTTACAATATCTACAAATACAAATTCTTTTCCAATTCCTACTATGAGTTTACACTCTCCCCATACATATATAGCACACACACACACACACACACACGCACACGCACACACACATCTTGTTCAAATTTTCAATCATTAATAAAATACTTTTTATTCGTCCACTCAAGTTCAAATACACTTTTTTAAACTTGTAGAGGATATCACTTTATGTCAATACATTTTTTCAGATATTAATTCATTAATTAAATTAAATTAATAAATAAATAGTAACAAGCAAAAATAATAGTGCAAAACCTAATATAAAAAGGAAAATCACTTGTTGTGTCCCTGTAGCGCAATTGATAGTGCGTTGGACTTCTAATTCATAAGTCGTGGTTTGGAGTTCCTCCTGGGATGGCCTAATTTCTAAGAACGTGTTTTCTTTTTACTATACTATTTTATTCGAATAGTTAAATTTAATTAATGAATAAATGGTAGAAATATAATGGTTCTATAAATAGTAAACCATATATAGAAAGGAAAATAGAAATTGCAAGGAAAATCGCTTTCTATTTCGCCACTAAATATTGTGAATCTGTCATATGCGTATACATATTTATAAGAACTGTAACTACTTAATAAAAAGTAACTAAAATAAAATTTTTCTTTGTTGACCTAAGTAGGGATTGACTTAATTTTTTTTTTTTATATCACTTGTTTTACTCCCATCAAGTTATCAATTCAAAAAGTTTAAACGTAATAAAATGCCATCAAAGTTTTTATTACTTACTACAAGAAAAAATTCGGGAAACAAAAGAAAAAACAAATATTTCAATGCACTAAATTAATTACTCTTAACTGTTTCTAAAATTAAATTTAGTATATTCTTGTATGTGCTTAAATAAATATCAATATTACTGCTAAAAAGACAGTGTCAAAATATAAAACTAATCATAATTAAATGGCCTTCTGAAAACTTCTTACAATATCTACAAATGCAAGTGTTTTTTTATAAATAAATTGAGAAATAAAAGATAATTTTGCATTAATGCCTCTAAAAAATAAATAAAAAAAATCTTTACCATATAAATTTTGTTTTCTCTTTCCATTCTTAGCATATATATATATATATATATATATATATATATATATATATATATATATATCTTTTAATATCACAGCATTGTAAAATCTGTCACTTATAATCATATTGAGCATTCACAATGAAGACCCTTATCTGAACACACGTATGCTATTTACTCCGCTCTTAAAAGATTTTTAGATGCACACAAGAAAAGGTTTCATTAAGTATTTGTATTTATGGAGGTTTAAGATGTTCGATCATATTTAAATATAAATAAAAATGTCGAACAGTTATTTTGTTCATGCATTTTTATTAATATTTAAAAATTCCTGTTAAACATTTCCAAAATTGTATTTGAATTAATTTAGTGCACACACACACAATTTCTCTCAGTCTGCTTTAAAAAACTCTACTGTATTGTTCATATGTAATGTAACAAAATTTTATTTGATTCGGTATTCGTAAGGAATTGATAAATTTTACATAAATCTCTCAATTTCTGAAGAAGGAAAATATAGCTTGTGTATAATCGTGTTTAAATCACACGAGTTTTTCAATCTTATTAATTAAATAAAATTCATTTACAAGGTAACCCCCCCTTTACTATTAAAAATAAGTCTTATTCAATTCCTGCTATTAGCTCATTTTCTCTCTATATATATTTATTTATATATAAATCTTGTTCAAATTTTCAATCGTTGATAAAATACTTTTTATTCATCCACTCAGGTTCAAATACATTTTTTAAAACTTGTAGTGGATGACACTTGATGTTAATAAAGTTTTTCAAATATTAATTCATTAATTCTTTTTAATTAATGAATAATTAGTAAAACGAACAAAAATAATGGTCCAACACCATATATAAAAAGGAAAATCGTTCGTTATGTCCCTGTAGCGCAATGAATAGCACGTTGGACTTCTAATCCAATTTTTTCCCCTTAATTTCTGAGAATGTGATTTCTCGTTGCTATACCGTTTTATTGGAATATTTAAATTTAATTAATGAATAAATAGTTACAAACAAAAATAATAATCCAACACCATATATAGAAAGGAAAATGGAAAATTGCAAGGAAAACCGCTTTCAATTTTGTCACTTAATATTGTGATTCTGTCACATATATACATATTTATATTAATTTTAACTATTTAATAAAAAGTACATAAAATAAAATTTTTCATTGTTGACCTAAGTAGGAATTGACTTATTTTTTTTATATTACTTGCTTGAATTGTACTCATATTATAACTCTTCCACAAGATCGCACATAACACAAACACTTTACGTTGAATATAATACACCAGTAAAATGGCTTCAATTTTTGTAACCCTTTTTAAACAATACCTCCCCCTCCACCGAACTTTTTTAAAACTCATTCAGTTACCTGCTATATGGGGTTCATTCAACACAAAACGAGTTCACCCCCTACTCCTGAAAAAAAAAAGCGAGAGAAGATCGACAGTTGGGAGCCATTCGTAACAGGGTACTCTAATCAATATTATTGGGACGGTAGGCTATTTCGATTTGATCACTTGCTATCCTGGCAATGCATCGAGTCGACTCTAGCGATGACATTAGGCTGCTTTTGCAAAAGTTGCTCGCCTGGACGACTGCCCTATCCTCCCCCTTTGAAAAACTCCTTTGGGACTAGGCCGGGAGATGTAAAGCATAGTTCTCATCCCTCGCTATGAGATAACGCACAGGATGACTTCTCTACCCCTCCTAGATCCCCTTAGTTTTTCTCTTTTCCCCATGACTTTCCATTCCCCCCAGAGGGGAATGGAGAGGGGATTGCATCAGGAAAAATGGATCGACATGAGTGTGAATAGAAGCTAAAAGTTGTCGAGTTAAAAGAAATATTTCGAGGAAGTTCCACTAAAGTAACAGGAAAAACCCAAAGAGAGAAACAATAGTTAAAAAATTACGTTTAGGTAAAATGCGATTTAAATTGAAATCTTGAAAAAAAGCTGAAATTACAATGTTCATGAATACACACCCCACCCCTTTGTGGATTGCAAATATATATATATCACTACAATATTGTTCTAAATACTGATAAATGTTTATAATTTTATTGTAGCATAAAATGATCAATGAAATAAAAGTTATTAGAAAAAATAATGTTAGAGAGTGTCATGGCACTCTCTGCACTCATTAAGTATTAAGATAAATGCTTATTTTATAACTTATAAATAATTCTGTTGTATTTAAAAATAACATTACTTTTCTCTTTATATTTATATGCAAATACGGTATATTTATTTATTTTATGTTCACAATCTTTAAGGCGAAACATATAATCATAGTCTATTTTAGATTATATCATTTTTAAATTAAGGAAGATTATATAATTTGATACAATTTTGTAAGTTTTAGTTGATATTTAATTGTGAAATTGTTCCGTCTCGTAAAATAAGCTTTTAGAGCATAAGCTCTTATATAATTGAAGGGAGAAAAAGCAATCATTATTCAAACTTAATGTAGACTATAACTATCTCAATATCTTAAATATTTAATTAATTCGTAATTTACACTCTCTCAGTTCTATTAAAAGTCTAAAAGCCAACATAGATAATATTTCTCTTCTACTTAAAATAAGCAATAGCATTTTATCACATGGAGATTTACTCATAAAAATTTAAGATCATGTTACCATAACATTTCCCTACTTTAACAATATTGAATAATTTCTTAACAATGTTTAATACATACCCTATTTTTATGATAATTTGTTTTCTTTGATTTATTTTTCATATGAGATTTACTAAAGCTTATTCTCTCTACTTTAATATGAATATACTGAATTTAGCTTCATTATTTGCTACTTTAGTTAAATTTAAACTTAAGAGACAGCATATTAGCAAAAGTTAAACTCATAATTCGATAAATTACTCATAGATCTATGATTCATGAGAAAGATATTTAATATAGCACAGAAACATTTATATACATTTTATATTACACGCATTCTTTTCAGGAATTGAAAAAAAACAACAAAAAAATATAAAATTATTCACATATGACAAGATATGCAGGTTATTTTGCGGTTCATCAAGCAAGAGTACATTTAATTCAATTACACAATTCTTTACAATATTTTGATAACATCATTATTATTGCATGATGATTTAAAAGTTAAAAAAGCAAATTATATATATATATATATATATATATATAAGTATTTAAAACTTCTCTTCCTCAAGATTTAAAGAAAGTTAATTGAAAATGCCAATGAAACAGTAAAAAAAATAAAGAATAATTATAACAGGTTTGATTTCTTTTGACGCGTTGGAAATTACTAATAAACCAAAATAATTTCATATATCTCTATTCTCTTAAGGAATTGAAAATCTTTTTCACAAAACATATCCACAAAATAAAGCGTAATTAATTACATTTAAAAACTAGGTTACTAAATGTTTGATTTTCATAAAACTATTTCAAATATTTTATTTGTGGTTACGGTAGCCAAAGTCGCGAATTTGTGACCAGCGTTGTTGAATTGTGAGTACTGTAGTCACTAAAGATCTTGCTTGTAGAAAGGTTGATACACATTAAGTCTGTAGAGGCTAAACTATTCTAGTTAGAGTGGTGTGAAAGCTTGGAGAGTTTGTTGCCATCTCATGTATTGTCCTCAGCAATTGAAGGAAGTTCAGTATTACGAGGTAGATCGTCAATAGCTCTAGAGTAGCTTCAAAGTGTGACATTAATAAAAAATTTAATCAAACAATTGTTTTTACGTCAGTGCTTCTCAAACTTTCAATACTGGCGCCCCCCTTTTCAATCACAATTTTTATCGCGCCCCCCTTATACATAATAATTTACTGAATGCAATAATGCACTTTTACGATAAAGCAACAATATTTATTATAAACCGTACAAATTCATGACATAAGTATTAAATTTTGTTTATGTTACTTTTAAGCAAAAAAAAAAAGTTAAGTAATAGGATAATTACTAAGTTATTTTTCCTTTCTCTGATTTTTAAATTGGAACATATTACAAAATGCGGTGGTTGCTTAGAAGACAAAATATAGATATCAGCTAAATATAGAAAATGTACTCAGAGGGTCAATTTCTTATCTTAAAACTCCTTTCAAAAACTTTGCTCTGTAGGACAAGCCCATGGAAGTAGCTAATAATTATTAAACTTGTTCTTAATTTAGTATTAATTAATTAGTCATAAAATACTCTGTGCACCACTCATACATTAAAAGCAGTGTTTCTCAAACTTTCAATACTGGCGACCCAATTTTCAATCATAATTTTTGTCTCGCCCCCCTGTACAACAATAATGTATTTATTTACTGCAATAAAAATGCACTTTGA